ATGGTAAGGTGCGAGTCCTGTAACGACTGACAAAAGTGGTAGAGGGTGGGTCATGGCTGGCACAAAAAGCAAAACGACGAAATTTGTTTTTAATACTTATGTAAAAAGTCACTGTTAGCTGTCGCGTTGCTTTTTTTAAACATTGCTAACAATACTGTCGATTTCAGGGTTCTCATGGCAAAATTTGTCTGAAGTGACCCAAATTGACCTATATCCGAGCATTTACTTTTAAACTTGTAGTCTGCTTGCTTACCTTTTGAATGCCATATCTCTGCAGGGGGTGTCTACAGCACGAACAGCACGTGTGGTGTCAAGCTGGTTTTGAGATAATTATCCTTTGGTTTAATTATTTAAAAAAAAATATTTAATGAAATGCAATGGAAGAATATAGGATGATAGGTCGCTCGAGCTGTCGGTTCAGTCCTGTTAATGATAAACCGCAACGTATGTTGGGGGTGCGCTGGGAATGGGTATCGAGTCACAAAGTTTATGTTTCAACGGTAGAAATGACAACACTTATGAAGGGTTTTTCCAGCTAGATGTTTCAGTAAAACATTGCGAGCTTCGGCTCTTCGGCAGGTTGTTTGTCCGTTTTTTTATGTACCTTCTGCGACGTAGCTCGTATTTAATTTATCATGTTTGTGTAGTTGTTGACTTCATCTATGTATGGTTAGCTTGACCCCTTCCTAGGAGATGGAATTTTTACGTAGCGCTGTAGATATCTAGTCTGCGATTGTGTCGAGCTTTGATTCGAGCAAGAGCCGTGTTTATTAAAGGATATTCGCCGACAGATAAAATACCCATAACAGTAATCAAACCACTGCATACAACTGTAATTTCTACGTTATTCGCTATTGCGGGAGTGGGAGATAGACATGCAGTGACTGTTGTCAATATTCCATTCCCCGTCCCAACTGTGTCCAAAGACACAGCGGTTTTAGTACTATCAGTCATGTTCACCGCGCGCTTGTATATTTTACATAAATCACGTCGCTATTGAGCAATGCTTGTAGGGAGGTTTCAGCCTCAATTATTTTTTTTTTCGTGCTACATTTTTGTGGGTCTTGCATTTTAGTACATATCAACGTTATAATTTCTCTAGAAGCAGTGTGAAATGAAACTGCATTTCATCTGGTGAGTTCATTAGTCTGTGGATTCACGCCTTTGATCGATTGTCTGTACGTAAGAGGCAAGGTGGCTGCAAAATTAAAGAACCTGATAGTTTCCCTGATATGAAACTATTGACAATTAGTATCTTGTAATTTTGGTGATAGTTGCAGGATGATGTCATGTGATGCGGCAGAGTGCGTCTTCATTCAAAAGAACAGTTGCTTTGCAGTCATTGAAACGAATGCTCGAGGAATGTGTGTACTCTGACAATGAAATTACAGATCTAAGCAAATTCTCAAATATCACATCGCTACTGTAATAACGATTACTATCGAGACGTCCATTACTTTAATTATTGAACGAATATCGTCAGCTTGCGGTTTAACGCAGGGTACTCTGGGTAGACTCAGTACTCGATGTCTCTCTTGCTTTGCATCCTTGTTCAACACCAGTCTGATTCGGAACGTGCTAACTACAGTTGCATGGGACAATCGGCTAAAAAAGCCCTGTTGAGCCAAGCCGTTAATCTCATGTAATGCTTTGCCGTCCGTGTTTTTTGTTCGTAAGTATATCCCTAAGGAGTCTAATCTCTATTGATTGTATAACCTTATTTTCTGGCCATACGAGAGCAAACTGTCTCCTGTCACTTTGTTGAGTATACACTAAAGTTACTAAACGAGGCTGCTTCTCATTGTTACCACAGGGAACGTAGAGCACAAAATCAAATTGTGCACTCCTTCCACTGACATGGTACTGACCGGACAATTTCATTTTTTGTCTCTGTAGGAGTATTTACAAAACCCACTAAGACATGATTTGTTAGATTGGACAGTGGAACCAAGCATCATCCGCTGACTAAGATAACGGCTTATCATATTACTCATACTATAAGCATACTTATCATGTCACACTTATTAAAAATATTTTACTATAAATACCAATTCCCCTAGGAGCGCACATGATCGTAGAGTACACACAATACTAATGGTATGGAAAAATGGGAACCAGCCTGAAAAAGTTTTAATATTTAATAAAGTTTATATGGATTTGGCTGGCCAGGATTGGTTAATAATGTAAGTTATGGTTTAGGAAGAATAATCTTTAGAAAGCTTATCCTAGTTTAAGGTGAAATAAAAAAAGAGACATTGTTTTATTGATGAAACTCCAGTCTTTTAACAATCTTAAGATTGGAACACTCATTACTAAAATTAGATAGATTCTAACCATTTGGTGCGGAATTGAAAGCACATGTTTCACACACAAGCAAGTCCGAAAATTGCCGCGGCTCATATCCTTTGCCCTACATAGAAGCTGACATCAGGTTTCATCGATAAATTTAGGTTTGATCATGTGCACTCATTATATTTAAGTTATTGATTTACTATGGGAACTGAATAGTATCGTGAGTCCTGGAGAGCTCATGGTGTATGCCAATTTAAATATCCTGTCTAGAAACAACGGGAAATATTAGAGGAAATGGAGCCACCACATACCGTTGGTCCTATGCCATACGCCGGGAAATTGAAATGTTAGTGAAGGGACGACTATAACTTAAGAAGAAAGATGCTGGATAGCTCAGCATTTTCACCACCTTTAAATTTGTTCGCTTCCACTCTGATGCTCTGGTTTAAACGTTGAAAATGTAATGCGAAAGAATATTACGAAATCTTCACGAGAAATCTGATCTACTTTAAAACGTGCATTTACTGAATATAATTTCTTTCTACTTAATTGAGCATGGTGTGTTCCGTCAAAATTGCTGTTGGAAAAGTTGACATGTAAAACACCAAGCCAAAATCAGATGCTTATTCGGTACCATTTTCTTGTTTTGAATGATATGAAAAAAAATAATACACTATGACGACATATGATAGACCATAAAGAACCTAAAAAATCGGAGATGCACGTCTCTTTAAAACTTCTATCTTTGCTAGTTCTACATTATAACAATCACTTTCTAGGCTAAAAAAAGTTAAAACCACCATCTTCAAAACAATGACATTGAGGATGCTAGCGCTGCCTGTCAAGGCTGATTTACTTGAATTGATAATTTTGATTAACAACAATATAAGAATTTTGGTTCGAGATTGTTCCTTTTGTTTCATTTCGTTAAATATCATCCATGTAGACGATAATAAACCAGAATTGTTTGTTTTCGTAACATGTCGTCATTTTAGACTGGAAACCCGAACAACAGTCCATGTTTAATTAGGATTCACCAAAACATGATTCAACGTTCAGCGTATCTGCTAGTGCAAAATTTTGTAGAATAATTTCGCAGTACATTCTGTCGTGGTGAGGTCATTGTGATATGTGACCATTAAGATAAATGTATTGCCTAGGCTCACCATACATTGGTAGCTTAATAGCTAACCTCTCCTTCTCTGATGCAAGGAATTGAATTTAATTAGGATATGTTCGATAACGGTCATAGATATGGAAGATATCAATGTTAATGCAAGATCCATTGAGGAAAATGACAACAATTTAAACAAACCAGAGAAACGTTTAGGAAGACTTGGACCCTTTAAAACAGGTGTCATAACATAACATTTTCCACAATACTTAATAATAAAGGTGGACAATAGAGGATTATTCTGACTTTGATAGGAATGATACAATTTTTGGAGGGTAAAGAAAGTAATCTGGATTGTCAATGCTAGACGAGTGTATGTGTGTTCCTGACGGACTTCAGACTTTTAAGAAATTCCTTTCACGAAATTAGGCTAAGTTTCTGATACAAGCCATAATTTAGCTCTGAAAATTCAAACAAGTACGTTTCTCGTTAAATTGTTGATGGGAGCGTGTCGGAAAGTGAGGTGAGGAACATGAACGAAGAGAGAGAGAGAGAGAGAGAGAGAGAGAGAGAGAGAGAGAGAGAGAGAGAGAGAGAGAGAGAGAGAGAGAGAGAGAGAGAGATTATCTGTCTTAATGATTTGTGTCATGTATGTTGAGAATTGATTTTCCCATGTCTGGAAATGTATATCATTGAGTCGCTAATTATCAAAGTAACGTCTTTAGGACAAGGTGTGAAATCCATTAATTCGTTGTTTAATAAAGTTGTGAATTCTTTTTAATCGATAATCGAGGGTGTAAGCATTAGGAGCGTGTCGACCGGCGCAGCTCAGCTGTAATTTATAACCACAATAATAGCTATCTGAGAGGTCTAATTATATCACAGTTACAGTTAAGAATGCGTGAAACCTCTATAAATTACGTAGATTCTCGTCTACACGGTTTTTTGTGTGTATTAGGCTGCAAAATGACTATAGCTTAGTCCTGTTGAATTACGATAGACGATATTGTTTGATCCCAGTAAAAGAAATATCCTGACACGTATGTAGGTTGGGTAATCTAAATTTATTTGAAGGAAATAATGGATCCATACTGCATTGCACAGTGGGAACAGACCACACTCTACACAGGCAAGGCAAGACGGTTGATGGAGAGAGAGAGAGAGAGAGAGAGAGAGAGAGAGAGAGAGAGAGAGAGAGAGAGAGAGAGAGAGAGAATTAGTTCTATCAGTTTAACAGAACAGCCAATTGAATTTCGCAACAATTTTGTTATTCTATTTTTAAGAGAAAGTGTATCATTAAAAGTCAAGTTCAATTTAATTTTGATTATGTGATGTAATGTGATGTGATCATGATTTTTAACGTAGCTTTAACAATATTTCAGTCATATTGCTACGATGTCTGCAGTATGGCAGTTTATAATGATGTCTAGCACAGGGGTATCATGCCGAAGACATGTAGCATGATGTCTATCACTGGGGCATCATGCCGCAGTCACATTATCCTGACACCAGGCCTACCATTCCTAACACTAACCTCTTAATACTGAGCTCCAAGCGAGGAAGCTGTTAGTACCATTTTTGTAAGTCTTTGGTATGACCCGAAAGGAGATCGAACCCACAACCTCCCGCATCCTAGGCGGACGCTCCAATCACTGAGGCGACCGAAGCGGTTGACTTTGTTTATGTAATTGATTACAATGTTAGACTCTACTCACTGAGGCTCATGTTATTATAATATATATCTCCTCCAGATCTATATTATTCCATCCATAATTTTATATTCCATTTTATTGTTTAGTCTATCCGAGCAATAACACCGTTGTTGAGCAGCTCCTAGATAACAATATCCAAAGCCCTATATGGAATCACACACATCATCTGCAAAAGTATCACTTAACTATTGAATAAGCACTATAGGGAGTCACACACATCATCTGAAAAGTATCACTTCACTATTAAATAAGCACCATATGGAGTCACACACATCATCTGCAAAAGTATCACTTCACTATTGAATTAGCACTATATAGAGTCACACACATCAACTGAAAAGTATCACTTCACTATTGAATAAGCACTATATGGAATCACACACATCATCTGCAAAAGTATCATTTCACTATTGAATAAGCACTATATGGAGTCACACACATCATCTGCAAAAGTATCACTTCACTATTGAATAAGCACCATAAGGAATCACGCACATCATCTGAAAGTATCACGTCACTAATACACAAGTACTATAAGGAGTCACACACATCATCTGAAAAGTATCACTTCACTATTGAATAAGCACCATAAGGAATCACGCACATCATTTGAAAGTATCATTTCACTATTAAAAAAGCACTATAAGGAATCACACACATCATCAGAAAAGTATCACTTCACTGTTAAATAAGCACCATATGGAGTCTAAGCACCATATGGAGTCACACACATCATCTGAAAAGTGTCACTTCACTGTTAAATAAGCACCATATGGAGTCTAAGCACCATATGGAGTCACACACATCATCTGAAAAGTATCACTTCACTATTAAATAAGCACCATAAGGAATCAAACACATCATCTGAAAAGTATTACTTCACTGTTAAATAAGCACCATAAGGAGTCGCACACATCATTTGAAAGTATCACTTCACTATTAAATAAGCACTGTAAGGAATCACACACATCATCTGAAAAGTATCACTTCACTATTAAAAAAGCACTATAAGGAATCAAACACATAATCTGAAAAGTATCACTTCACTATTAAATAAGCACCATAAGGAGTCACCCACATCATCTGAAAGTATCACTTCACTATTAAATAAGCACTATAATGAATCACACACACATCATCTGAAAAGTATCACTTCACTATTAAATAAGCACCATAAGGAATCACACACATCATCTGAAAAGTATACTTCACTGTTAAATAAGCACCATATGGAGTCTAAGCACCAAATGGAGTCACACACATCATCTGAAAGGTATCACTTCACTATTAAATAAGCACTATAAGGAATCACACACATCATCTGAAAAGTATACTTCACTATTAAATAAGCACCATATGGAGTCACACTCATCATCTGAAAAGTATCACTTCACTGTTAAATAAGCACCATAAGGAGTCACACACATCATCTGAAAGTATCACTTCACTATTAAATAAGCTCTATAAGGAGTCACACACATCATCTGAAAAGTATCACTTCACTATTAAATAAGCACTATAAGGAGTCACACACATCATCTGAAAAGTATCACTTCACTATTAAATAAGCACCATAAGGAATCACACACATCATCTGAAAGTATCACTTCACTATTAAATAAGCACTTTAAGGAAACACACACATCATCTGAAAAGTATACTTCACTATTAAATAAGCACCATATGGAGTCACACACATCATCTGAAAGTATCACTTCACTATTAACAAAGCACTATAAGGAGTCACACACATCATCTGAAAAGTATCACTTCACTATTAAATAAGCACTTTAAGGAATCACACACATCATCTGAAAAGTATACTTCACTATTAAATAAGCACCATATGGAGTCACACACATCATCTGAAAAGTATCACTTCACTATTAAAAAAGCACCATAAGGAATCACACACATCATCTGAAAGTATCACTTCACTGTTAAATAAGCACCATATGGAGTCTAAGCACCATATGGAGTCACACACATCATCTAAAAAGTATCACTTCACTATTAAAAAAGCACTATAAGGAGTCACACACATCATCTGAAAAGTATCACTTCACTATTAAATAAGCACTATAAGGAATCACACACATCATCTGAAAAGTATACTTCACTTTTAAATAAGCACCATAAGGAGTCACACACATCATCTGAAAGTATCACTTCACTGTTAAATAAGCACCATATGGAGTCACACACATCATCTGAAAGTATCACTTCACTGTTAAATAAGCACCATATGGAGTCACACACATCATCTGAAAGTATCACTTCACTGTTAAATAAGCACCATAAGGAGTCACACACATCATCTGAAAGTATCACTTCACTGTTAAATAAGCACCATATGGAGTCACACACATCATCTGAAAGTATCACTTCACTGTTAAATAAGCACCATATGGAGTCACACACATCATCTGAAAGTATCACTTCACTGTTAAATAAGCACCATATGGGGTCACACACATTATCTGAAAAATATCACTTCACTGTTAAATAAGCACCATAAGGAATCACACATCATCTGAAAGTATCACTTCACTATTAAATAAGCACTATAAGGAGTCACACACATCATCTGAAAGTATCACGTCACTGTTAAATAAGCACCATAAGAAGTCACACACATCATCTGAAAAGTATCACTACACTATTAAATAAGCACCATAAGGAGTCACACACATCATCTAAAAAGTATAAATTCACTATTAAATAAGCACCATATGGAGTCACACACATCATCTGAAAGTATCACTTCACTATTAAATAAGCACCATATGGAGTCACACACATCATCTGAAAGTATCACTTCACTATTAAATAAGCACTATTAGGAATCACACACATCATCTGAAAAGTATCACTACACTGTTAAATAAGCACCATAAGGAGTCACACACATCATTTGAAAGTATCACTTCACTATTAAATAAGCACTATAAGGAATCACACACATCATTTGAAAGTATCACTTCACTATTAAATAAGCACTATAATGAATCACACACATCATCTAAAAGTATCACTTCACTATTAAATAAGCACTATAAGGAATCACACACATCATCTAAAAGTATCACTTCACTATTAAATAAGCACTATAAGGAATCACACACATCATCTGAAAGTATTACTTCACTATTAAATATGCTGTTTTTCGATTCGAATCATAAATATGGCATGTTAAAAAAATAATCTTCTAAAACCAGATGTTTTAGAAAGCCATCATAACGGCTGTGATTTTCAACAATCGCATTTTAAAAATGCCGCTCCAAAGCTTCCAAAAATTGTTCATCGCCTGTATATTGAATGACAACTGGCGGAGGGATATTGTTTATAAATGTGTTGAAGCTCATTTCTGAATCAGTACAGAATACCATTAAACTGGGGTAGGTAACTTTTGAGGCGAAGGTGTGAAATTTTTAATGACAAACGAAATTTTATTTTTTTCATGCAAAAAGTTTAGCATTACAATCAATCAATCAGAATCTTATTTCGTAGAACTGCATTGAATAGCACATAGTTAATTTAATTAACACGTGTTACCTACATTGTACACGTGTACATGTTGTGTAGTTTCTTTCCCACACCAAATCTCTGAAGCATTTCTCGGTGACATAATACGTTTAGCAAGTAATTTTAGAACATGTTCCTGTAGTATTTACTTTTAAAGAGCCTAGTTGTCAATTGATTAAAATAATAAGCGGGTTTCCTTGAAAGGTTAAGGTTCAAAATTTGCCGTAGGATTAGCATAGATTGGTTATCAAATCTTTCTGCCCCAGTTGCCTCAGCGTTAGATAATCTTCTAGTTTTTCTGTACCATGAAACACCAAACCAAACTAAAATCAAACTTCTTTAGAACTTAACAGTTGAAATTAGAAAGTTAGAAACAGCAGTTATTATAATTGTGCAACGTACGTTAGCTGGGCACTTCATCGACGTAGGTAAATACTTTGTCAAAACAATTATAGATACTGTCCGCGTATCAAAACTATTATTGGATTCAAGTTACAACCACAGGTGTTAACATGCTTACTCACACCTGATAATACTTTTATCGTTTCTTTCCCAGACACTACTGTGGGTTATATTAATTGCTTTTATGACTGACGAAGGAAAATATAAAACACCTGTTGCGATAGATATAAGTGCTTGGAGTCGAATATTAATTACCAACAAGCCAGAGAGGTCAGCTGGTATTACTCGCTGGGGCCAAATCACTTTCAAGTACTTTGTATACACCATCAAATGCAAACCAAACATTCCTGATAACCATTTTAACAGAACTATTTTTTTTTTGGTATGAAATAACAACACATCACAGTTTAAGCTATGGCTGAATGACTCAGAAAGGGGGAAGAGGTGGGTGTGACTTCCCAATTAATTTGACTAACTCAGTAGTTTCAAGATAGCATTTTAGCATTGCGATGTTATTAGTCTATAGACCATTTCATGAAGACTTCGGCGAACTTTGTAATTTGCTCGGAATTTTGATCACGTGGCGGGTGGTCAACTGACCACAGTATCCAATCGATAGCTGGTAGGCAAATAGTCTGGTCCCCTGCTTAGTATGCTCTCTAGTATAGTATAGCGGAGTGCATCGCAGGGAGCATATTAAGCAGGGGACCAGACTAGTGGTCAAAACAAGGCGGACAATTCAGGATTAGCATCAACTGATCCAACTACTTTATATTCGTTTATAGAGTTAAAAAATGCCTATTCAACAAAGAAGATGCCACAAATATTGACGAAATTTAATATTGGAACCATACTGTCTCGTTTTCTGGATTTTATAGCCATACGAGAGAGTAGCTATGAACTGTTTACATCTGTACATATATATGCGAGTATGGAAACGGTGTCGATGTTAAAAATTTAATACCTTTTTTTTACCATAACACCGCATTTCATTAATCGAGTTTCGTTTACCAATAAAAGGAATTTTTC